TGTCGCAAGCCTCGTATAAATATGTTATCCTTCTGCCAAAATTTGCGAGAACCTGTCAGGATATGGGAAAAAAAGGAGGGGACAAAAGAGAGCAACTATTTTGGGAAAGAGGGAAGGTGGTGGGGAGGAGAGCTCGTGGCCCTCACTTCGTCTTCTTCCTCCTGTGCAGGTGCGTGCCAGTGTCAGCGTCTTCCACGCCTCCCAAACAGTGTGGAGTGAGTGAGTGAATGATGACCGTCAAAGCCTGTTGGCTTGGCATTGGCATTATGCATCCATCGACTGGTTAAACTTGGACATCGTGTCTATCAAGGTTCATGAATGGTGCTATCATTTCAAAAAAGAATGGGTATTTGCTCTACTCTGAAACTTGTTTGACAGCGGTTCTAAACTCCGAACCCAGATACAACCCTCTAGGTTCTGAATCAAATGAAAGCTAGGGTTATGGCACTCTGCAAGAACCATAAGTTGAAAGACAATACAAGGGCATGCTATTATCTATAGTGAGCATTTCATGGACAAAATTAGGTATATGTATTCATTGCCAAATTCGTGCTCATTAACCAATTTTCTCAATCTTCTTCTGGAAACATGAGGAAAACTCCCATTATAATGGACTTCGAATCAAGATCTCCATGTCCATGCAATGCATATGTTTTTCAAAATTTTAGTAAGCCAAAAATATTTGCACAGTGAATTGTCCTTTAAGCACAATATGTTGCTTAAACTAAATTGATCTCTAATTAGAAGAATTTTACATAAATATAGCTAAAACGTATCACTTTGAAATATAATCTACTTTAGGGCCAAAGCGGTGCGCGCAAACACATAAATAGTTGGAATAAGTTTAAGGATTTCTGACTTAGATGAGTCACTTGCCCGGCTTAGCCCTATCCAATCCAACCCAAACTAAGTAACACGATTCAAAACCTTCGAGAAGACTTGAACAGGGGAGATGCCATTGGACAAGTATGTTCTCGGCTTGTTTCGTCTCTAAGTACTCGGTTGTAAGATGCCTTGCATAAGATAATGCTGCAAAGCTCTGGCTTTCAATAGCGCAAGAATTGAAAAAAAAAAAAATAGTTTACCCATTCTCTCTGATGCACTCTACATTTGGTCATTTTAAAATAATTTTTTTAGGTAGTAGTAACTTTTTAATTATTTTTATTTTTGGATGACCAATATTTTATCAATTCATAAAACAATTCACCCACTCTGTGACATAGACTTCTTTTGGTCATTTTAAATATTTTTTATTGGACAATGGTGAATTTTTTATCGTCCAGAACAAGATTGAGAAAATTGGTTAATGAGCATGAATTTGGCAATGAATAAATCAAGGTCAAGGTCAAGCAACGCAACGAAACGCAAGTGACACGCATGACTTGCGAGCCCCCTCTAGTTCATTTACTTCCGGGGGTCCACTTCGGGCCATTGGTTCGGCTTTTCAAATGCTACTTGGAGGAATCCAAATACCTTTAGGTGAAAGTCACTTGACGAAATACAAGTGGTGTTTGGTAAAAAATCATTTGAAAGCCACTTAGGGAAATGCAATTGTGTTTGGTAAATTCCTTTTTACAAATGGGCTTTGGGAGGTTTTTTTTTTTTTTAAAGTACCCTTCGCCGGCTCCGGCGAAGGGCTACGGCCGCCGACGAGCCAGATCTGGCGCCGGCGGCCATCACCCGAGGAGGCCTGAGGTCGCACGACCTCGGGCCGTCACCGCCTAGGTCGCGCGACCTCGGGCGACGGCCGCTTGGGGTCGCGCGGCCGCCCAAGCGCCGCGCTTGGGTCGGGTGACCCGAGCAACAACGGCCTGGGTCGAGCGATCCAGGCGCCAGGCCGTCGCCGACGGGGTCGCGCGAACCAGGCCACGGAGCCTGGGCGGTCGCGCGACCCCAGGTGGCCGTCGCCTGGGTCGCACGACCTTGCCGGCCCCTCGCCGGCCACGCTTTGCTTAAGAATTTTTTTTTTTTTTTGGAAACAGTCAGCATTTGTGGAATGCCAAAAGCCCAAAGCTGGTCCGGACCAGCTTTGGGCTTTCGACATTTCAAATGCCAGCATTCGGCTTTCCGAGTCTGGAAAGCTGAACCAAACGGTTTAGCATTTTGGGAAGGGGCTTTCGAGATCGAAAGCCCCTTCCCAAAGCTGAACCAAACGGGCCTTCGTCCTTCACGCGTTTTGACATTGGCTCTCTCCTCGATGAATGATGTGATGCTATACCGACGGAGAGATATGATTTTGTATATGTCTATGCATTGATAAGGAAGACATGTCGAATCGATCCTTTGATAGGGTCGTCATCTTTCGATCAAATCTGCTCCATCATTATCGACAGCCTCACATAAAAGTGGAGGAGGTGCACAAATAACGGAGGAATGGACCACACATATTCATTAGGTTTGGAAAAATTGGAGTGGGACTGAGTCCCACTCAGACTCTGTACGAAAAGAAAAACATCACATGATGATGAACAGTTATAAGGACAATAAATGAAAGCAGCATCCAAGTGTCAGCGTCTTCCGCGCCTCGCTCAGCACGTCCGAGAGGACTTGGACAGTGGAGACCACTAGACCGAACATGTTTCGTCTTCAACTACTCTGGAATCTTGGAAAGTAGTTTGCGTTAGATAATGCTGCCAAATGGTGGCTTTCGAAAGTGCAATAATTTTGAATGAAAAAAAAGTGCAATAATTGAAAAGAATAATTCACCCCGCAGACTTGGTTTGGTCATTTCAAAACATTTTCCTTCGGTAGTGGTCGTTTTCTCTTAATTATTTCTCTTTTCTGATGACCAATGGTAACTTTTTATTAATTAATAAAATTAATAACATGAAAAATCTCAAACTAATAAATTTATGACAAATCTATTCCGAACTAATCATTCGACTAATAAAAACCCCAAACCGGTACACTTGTGACAAATTTACCCTTCGTTAAATTAAATTAATACCACGAAAAATCACAAATTGGTAAACTTGTGACAAACGGAAGGTAAAACCCCAAACTAGTATACTTGTCAATTGCCACGTGTCATCCAACTCAGCAATTTGACAATAAAATTTAAGGAAACTAACGGATGGTAAATTTGTCATTATACTAGTTTGGGGTTTTTTGTAGCCAAAAAATTAGTTTGGGATAAATTTGTCATAGGTGAACCAGTTTGGGATTTTCGTGGCATTAACCCTAATTAATTAATAAAACAATAGACCCATGACAGAGACTTTTTTTGGTCATTTTAAATATGTTTCCTTCGGTAATGGTCGTTTTTTAAAATTAATTCCCACATTCCACGACTCATAAATATTATGAAATTGTCAATTATTGTTGATCCTCATCAATCCTTGGTGGTTTGCTTTTAATATAACCTATGGCTGATTTTATAAGCAGCTATTGAGCAAATGGGGTCTTTTGGATCACGGGATGGATGGTTTTCGAGCAATATTTAACAAGAAATTCTCCTAAAGATCGTAACTGTTGATGAAGTTAGTTTCAGCTTTAAGTGTGTTTTACATCAAATAGATAAAAAGTCTAATCACCACGAAATATTGTTACATGATTATACAGTTGCTGTAAAGTTAGAATATAATAGAAAAAAGAAAGGAAACAAACGAACTGAAACTCCAACAGAATGCAAGTCATCGTCCGAACTCTGAAGCATCTTGCATAAACTTCAATTGCAGGTTACAACTAAACATCCATAATCTTCGGCTCCATGACCACGCCCCATAACCGCATGTTAATGTTATCCATATGCTGTGGTAAATCCCCAATTGTTGCTAAGCTCGATCGCACGTCTGCAATTTCTGGCTCCACAATTGATCTCCATAATTACACGTTGATCTTCTCCACGAATTGCTCATGGGACTTCAATCAATATCTTTGTTGTCTTCAGCTCTGCCTTCAACTACTAAATAAGTGTCAATTGTCAATCAATCATCATCATATGTCGATAACAATACTTCGTCATTGATATTCACAATTATCGACAAGCCGATAAGCCCTCTATTGACAATATATTATTGACAATCTACTTGTTTGACACGAATTTTTTTATTGGCATCATGTCGATTGTTGTATTCGTCGATGAGCTTCTCTATAAATGACCACTTATCGACAATTGTAATTGATTAACATTGAACTCTGTATCTGCATTATGTCGATTAACTAGACCTGGTTATTTTTAAGTGTCGACACCAACACAATTTGTTGTTCATGTAACAAAAATAAAGAGCAAGACTTATAAGCGAATTGCAACCGGGAAATAAGCTAGATGAAGAATGGTCCGAGAATAGTAGATTTAGAAGGGAGAACGAAATCCATAGTGACTTTATCAAAAAATTTCAAACGAACTTACAGATTTTCTCACTCTTCGATTTTAGAATTTACATCGCATAGCCAAATTGATAGGATAGCCATGAGTAAGAAAAAACACAGTTTTCGATTAGTTTAATCTCACCCTTCCTCATAAATTGGCCAATGGACAAAAATAACTGGGATTTAGAATTACTCCACAATTTTTTTGCTCTCTCCTCGGTCATGTTACTTGAAAATTAAATACTCAAATTCATGACAAAATTAAAACGACAAAAAATAGACGATTTTGGATCGATCATTGTTTAAGACGGTAATGCCTGTAAATGTAGTTCTTAAAAGGGATACATGCACTTAAAGTTTTAAAACTTATCACGAAAGTGCAATTTAGTTCTAAAATTTTCAAAAAGTACGATCAAGTCCTAAAAATTTATCACCAAAATGCAATCGAATTCTAAAACTTTTAGAAAGGACTTAATTGGATCAATTTGACAAGTTTTAAAACTCAATTGCACTTTGGTAACAAGTTTTAGAACTTGATTACACTCTTTGAAAGTTTTAGGACTTGATTGCATTTTCATGATAAGTTTTAGGACTTAATTGCATTTTTTAAAAGTTTTAGTACTCAATTGCACTTTCATGACAAATTTTAGGACTTCTAGTTCACTCATCCCTCCTTAAAAATATCGTCATCTTCTTCTTCACCCACAACAAACTTCACTCTCTCTCCATTAAATTTGTCTCTTCGATCGCAATTCTTTTTCGTGCTTCGAGCTTGTTCAGATCCGAGGTGGCAAAGACCGAGAGCTCCATTCTTTTGCCGATCGATTGAGATAGTTCATGGCTGACATGGGGAAAAACGTGCTCGGTAAATCACAAGTTCGATGTCGATGGAAATTGCTGCGTGTGATTATTCGTTTCCAATTTTTCGTCATGACTTTCTCCATGAAGATGTCGAGAATTTTTTCTGTGCGCGATGCGCGTGCGTCTTTCTTTAGCTGAAGTAACAGTAGCTTGAATTGGAGTTTATGTGGAGGGTGTCGTTGTGGTTGTTGTTCTTTTGCTCTGTTTTCCTCTTCTTCTTCTTTTTTGTGTCTCCTGTACTTTTCTAATTTGCAAGGAATTAGCGAGTCTTGACAAATCCTCGTCTTGGGTGTTCTGAGCTTTACTTTAATTCGTTGGAGGCAAGGTATCCTTTTTTATGCTTGATTCTTGGAAATGATATAATGAAAAAGTGTCTCAAGAATCATTCACAAACCCCTCGCTGTCAGCTTCCATTCTCTGTGGCAGGTCACTTTAGTTGTTTGCTAGGCAATGCCAAGAGGCAATGGAGGTTAATTAGACACATGCAACTTTTGGTTGAATTCGGGAGGTGTTGTGATTTAGTCAGTGTTGCAAAAGACGAGGGTATCCTCAATGAAAGATGAGGCAGTCTTACAACTAAATTGATCGATGATTTCTAGGGCAGGCCCTCATGCACCATCTGAAATTTTAATATTTAGTGCTACAGCTTTGACTGCATGTTCTTTTAAACGAAGCCCATATACTCTTACTAGATCTTTTCCCAAATATCATTCACTTCGAAACAAAGTTCCTCACATTCCTTTCTGGGTGCTTAACATGGTCACCGAAATGCACTTGCACTCATACGACAATTTTGAGCAGTCAATATACTCCACGTAAGGTGTAAATCAAGAGTCATCCATGGTTTCTCTCACAACAAGAATTCCCTTGTCATACACCTCCTTTTCTGGGGCAACACAACAATGATCATTTGCTTTTGTTTCCCGACTACACTTCCTGGAGCATTATACTGGCCAAGATAGAGCTTGGAATCAAACTGTACTTTATAGGGATTTGCGATGCCCCCATTGGAAAGAGGTGGACACAAAAAAAGTACCGGCCCCACCTGCATCTGGCATTTCTACAGGGTGCTTGCCAACCAGTCTGCATCTACTTGTCTTCTTTAAGAGATTTGTTCTTCGAACCACCAACATTTTAGGGGGGTTTTTTGCATTTTCATTTGGCTAATAATAATGCGCTAGCATGGCCTCACACTGAAGAGGTTTAGGAGGAGGTTCATTTTTTTTATTGTTATTTGGCTGCTTACCGTCAACATTAGTTGAATCGTCTGACTGCAGCTAAAAAGGAAAAAAAAAAATTACCATCCCTTGTCGGTTATTATAATGCTGTGGAAAATTTACACTCTGGTATCTCAACTTTAATTTTACCAGTAAATAGAAATAGGTCAATTTTTTATATTTAATTTCCAAAGATAAATGAAATTTTTCAGCAATTTGAAATAATTTTACAGATTGGGATATGATTTGATGCAGATATTCAGCAAATACTTCTGGACGCATAAGATCGGTGGTTACGCCCAGCTGAAATTTATGAAATTCTTAAAAATCACAAACAGTTTGAAATTCCACCAGAGCCTCCACATATACCTCCAAGTATGTTGGTTTTCCCTATGAATTGGGTAATTTTATGGTTAGGTTTATCACTTTCAGATTCACGGTGTAACCTTGATCTTTTCTTATAAATCTTGTATTTCTAAGTGAGTGTGCTTTCTATATGAAGTAATAATTGTAGATAGCATAAATAATTCTATGTAGAAGCTGATTCTTGGTGAGGAGCAAGATCTCTACATCGTGCTGATTCATATTGGATTCCTTTTTCATTTTTCCTACTTTGTAAGTTACATGCCTATGTCACGGGTCAATCGATTAACAACGATCCCACACCCGTGCGGCCTTAGGATTTCACCCAAGTCAGCCTTACACACACACTCGAACTCACAAGAATGGAGAGAAAGCTGCGTAGTTGTATTTCTTGCAAGAATGAGCAAGTACAAATGAAGGGGGAGGGTATATATATATATATATATATATATATATATATATATATAGTGCGGGTCTAATCTGATCCGCTGATCCCCTTATGATCCAACGGTGGTGTTTGAACCGATACAATCATTACATAGCTACTCAAGAAGTTGCAGAGGCCCTAAGGGCGTGGGGAAGCTGCAGGGACGCCTGCCAAGGAAAGCTGCAGGGACGCCTGCCAAGGGAAGCTACAAGGTCATGTGTTAGAGGCAACTGAAGGGTCGCGGATGATGTTCGTGCCTAGTCATGGATGGGCCACGTCCCATGTCACGCCCTGAACCCCATCGAGCGCGCGTCATCCCTTACTCAGGTCGAATCAGTGCGACATCCCAGGAAATCGTCGCCAACCCAAAGATTCCATCAGAGTAAATTCGCGGCGAAAACAAATCATATTATCCCGGACAATAATATTGGAGAACCAGGAAGAAGCAAACTACTAAACCACCAAACAGAATACTATACCTCGATATATAAATATACAACATCCAATTCTTTACAACCAAATACTTCCAACACTCCTCAAATTTACATCAACTGATAGTACACACCCGAACGGATTTCCTAATTATACCACCAACTATTCACATCAAACACTCACTAATTTAATATCAAACTTATAATACACGCATACCAACTGGCTTCTACGGATCGCGTCCTCGACCTCAAAAGGGATTTGCAGCCAAGGAATATTCTACTCCTGAATCCTCGGTGTGCATCGGGATCCCAAAACGCTGCGGCGGTAGCGGCAGAAGGTTCAAGGCTCGGGCGGGTGCTCTGAAATAGTTTGGTTGAAACAACCATGAGACACTTCTCAATAAGTCATAACCTAAACCCTACCTAGGCTACCACGTATTCCAGACAAGTTCAAACCCTCAAACGAACAACACGAACAAAAACTATCCACGCAATCATACTTACCTAGACTCTTGGCATACTCAGCCTGCACGTTAGTTCATAATCACAACATTCAAACTCGCACGCATTTCACACTTCGCGCACCACAAACCCCACACATTTCCATGCCAAAAACACGCATTTATCACGCACTATCGCATCAATTTCATTTACTTTCCTCGTCTTGCCCCACTAGCTCAATCACTTTCTCGGCCCGCGTAAACACGCCTCAGGCCCACACGATTGCGCCCCGAGCATCACACGCCTCGGTTCAATCCCACTTTCTCTTACCATACCACGCACCCTGTTCTCAATCACATTCCTCGCCCCGTGTAAACACGCCTCAGGCTCACACGATCGCGCGCCGAGCATCACACGCCTCGGTCCGATCCCATTCTCACTTTCTTTTCTCAGCCCGCGCCAAATGCGACAGGCCTACATGATCGCAACCCGAGCTTATCATGCCTCGGCCCGATCCCATTCTCACTTTCTTTCCTCAGCCCACGCCAAATGCGACAAGCCTACATGATCGCGACCCGAGCTTATCATGCCTCGGCCCGATCCCATTCTCATGCTCACACACATTCGCATTAAATTCCGTGCACACAATTGCACCCAATACATCACGACACACAGTCATATCACAAACACGCGATCAACACATAAACTCGCATTTTTCTACACCCAAACGTTATCAAATCAATTCAGGCCCTTCATAACATTTTCACGAAATCTCGAACCGGACCTAACGGTACCAACCACGCAATACACAGCAACCCACAACACATAAAACATCACATCACAGCCATCAATCAGTCTTTTTCGCCTTCAAAATTACCATATCTCACTCCCGGCTCTTCACGACACCTTCATAAAATTCCGAGCCGGATCTCACGGTGCAAACCATACGCCAAACAGCTCATCACAGCACATAGAACAGCACAACACAGTCATCAATCTACCATTTTTACACTCAAAGTCACAATATTTCACTCCCGGCTCTTCACGGCGCTTTGGTAAAATTCCGAGCCGGATCTAACGGTACCATCCACGTACCCAACAGCACCCTACAGCCCTTCAAACAGACCATCACAGCCGTCTCCCGGCCTCTAAAATTTCTCCAAAAATTCCCGAAATCAATCCTACTGCCCGTTATTCCGTTCAGCCCCTAATTTCTATAAAACCGCGTCTAAACGGGTCCAAATTTACCCGATAAACTAGGCGAGGTTTAGATCGCGACTTACCGACACTCTAGACTAACGCGGCTAGAGCGAAAAGCGGCGGCGATCGACGGGGACGGCGGCGAACGGTGGCGTGGCTTGGCGGCTTGGACGGACGGCGATGGTGGCTAGGGGCGGCGGCCTTCCTTGGCCGACCAGCTCACGGCCAAGAGAGAGAATCGGGAGGGAGAGAGGACGGTGTGAGGGTCAGGGGCGACTCGGTGGCGTGGTACGGCGGCGGTCCGGGCGGCGGTGACCGGCGTTGATGGCTCGGCGGCAATCGGCAAGAAGAGAGAGAGAGAGAGAGTCCACGGTGGGGGGGGGGGGGGGATGTTGCCGTGAGGGAGAGAGAGGAATGAGGAGAGAGAGAGGGAGTCTTGACTCAAATAGTGGAATTTGGACTAAAATGGCAAATTACAACTTGCCCTTCCCTCACAAATTCAACCGACGGCCCATATTCGATCTTATCTTGAAATCAACGGCCTGGATAGAATCTTTTCTAAAATATCTAAGGGCAGTCTGGGAATTTCTCAAAAAGTCCAAGGGTAAAAATGTCTTTTCCAAATTTTGGGGCAAAATTACCAAAATGCCGTTGCTTCATAAAACTAGCCCTTTAGAAATTTCCAAGGGTAAAATGGTCACTTTCCCATTCTCTTGCCAAAAATGAATTTTTCTGAAGAATTCGGGCACATCCAAAATTACACGTTCCAATCGCAACGTCGTCCTAACGTTCTGCATTGACTTCCTAATTTTCCGATGCCCAATTTAGTCTCAATTTAATAATTGAATTCTATATAATGTAACTTGTGCATATCTCAGACTAACGGGTGGCTTTCGGGGAAATTCGCAAAATCGACCCGTGACTGATACTAAATCAAGTCACGTGCAAGTTCGTTCTGATCGTGTCGACCTCGGTTGTCAATAAAATCGAGAAGATCGATCACTAGTTCCGATAGGCACGATCGTTCGGTATAGGTTTTGGATCGTTCGTCAATTCACTTCGTGGTCAAACGGAATCACCCGTGATCCACTAGTGTGACAGTGACGAATCGGCCCTTCACTATCCTAAGATTGGCCCTTGTTGGCTCAAAATGTCACCTCGACGATTTTCTGATCGAAAGTCGGCTCACGATCGAATCTCTCTAGTCGTACGAATTTAAATCCATAATTAGCCTTTCCCTATAGGTTAGTATCCCAGGAATGATCAGTTCTGGGCTAGACTGACTACAAGTACATTAATAAACTCAGTCATTTCATAAATCCCAATTGGGCGAAATTTCGGGATGTCACAATTCTTCCCCCTTACGAAATTTTCGTCCTCGAAATTTACAATCTGACTAACTAACAACAATTGGGAGTAATGACGTTGCATCAATTCCTCGCTTTCCCAAGTTGCGCCTTCAGTCCCATGATGCTTCCATACCACCTTGACCATTGGGATCGTCTTGTTCTTCAAGACTCGTTCTTTCTGATCCTCGATCCTTATCAATCTTTCAGCGTACAACACTCTGTCGTCAACTTCTATCTCTTCATAGTTCAACACATGTGTTGAGTCCGGTTCATACTTCCTCAGCATCGATACGTGGAACACATTATGTACTTGCGATAGGTTTGGCGGTAATGCAAGGCGATATGCTAAATCCCCAATCCTTTCCAATACCTCAAATGGTCCCACGAACCTCGAACTCAACTTGCCCTTCTTACCAAACCGGGATAATCCTCGCATGGGCGACACCTTAAGGAATACGTGATCCCTCACTTGAAATTTCAAAGGTCTTCGTCGTTTGTCTGCGTAACTCTTTTGACGACTTTGCGCTGTCTCCAGCCGCTCGCGTATACTCTTAACAGCCTCAACCGACTGTTCTACTAACTTTGGCCACTTGCCCTGAAAATTCCAACACACACGCCCGAAGCATGTTTTCTAGAGTCTGAATCGTCCTCTCAAACTGACCATCCGTCTGCGGATGATAAGTAGTACTAAACTGCAATTTCGATCCTAACGCCGTCTGCAGACTTTTCCAAAAATTGACGGTAAATCTGGGATCACGTCCGACGTAATAGTCACTAGCACCCTGTGCAATCTAACAATCTGTTGCACGTACAATTCTGCATATCGATCTAGTGCGAAATCCTTTCGCATAGCCAAGAAATATGCCGATTTAGTCAATCTATCAATAATCACCCATATATAATCATGGCCTCTTTGGCTTCTTGGCAATCCCATCGCAAAAATCCATTGTGATATGTTTCCACTTCCATTCTGGGATTTCCAAAGGTCGCAACAATCCTCCTGGCTTACGGTATTACGCTTTCACTTGCTGGCACGACAGACATCTAGCCACATGTCTGCCTAGGTCTACCTTCATACCATTCCACCAATAATACTGTCTTAAATTCTGATACATTTTTGTACTCCCCGGACGGATACTATAACTACTACGATGCGCCTCTGAT